GTATAACACTCCTCTTCTATTACTCCCTTATACTTAATAACAATAATTAATTATATCAAGTCTAATCATGGATTAATGTCAGTTAGAGAACCATTGAACACTAGGGAGTACTGGACAGCTGTTTCGTCCTAGTATTGAACTCTTCGTTAGTACACCCACGAATACATTGAGTTTTAACACAGGATCTCCAGGTCATGCGGCCAAGCTCGTTGACAGTACAAACTAACTCTTGAGAAGTAATTAATTCTATTTGAGGTAGTATTTTTACAATAACCAGACAGTCATTTTTAAAAAAACAAGCTTGAAACACTTGAAGAGTGGGCAGCCACAATCCCACAAACGGATCAGTTTGAAGACGGTCAGGATACGGGGCGAGATCAAAACCAGACGCTTCCGGCGGTTCTCTCACTAGCGTACAATTTAAATGGGAATGACTTTTTGATACCTTTCAAGAAGACATACTTTTTAAACGTTTGATAGAGGAAGTATTTTAATACTGTAGCTTTTTCAAGGAAATAATCATTCAGGTAAGGGCTGTGTTTTAAGGGAACAGTGCCACTGTGTGATACAGACAATGTGTGCCAACAGAATATTATTCTCATGGCTCAATACGGCATTAGCAACAGAATACTATGCACAGTTGAGCATTCAATTTCATGTCGTTTGACGTAAACCGAAATCGCACTCTCAGTGATTGGTTAACGAATATAAACTGTAGATATATAAACAGCGGTTTTATTGATGAAAAAGACACCTCGGCTTCCGTGTCTTGCCTTTTACTGTTACACCACCACTTCGTTTTCAAGTTATTGTTGATTAGTCCAACTACAATTATGTGGGGTGGAAATATCATTTTTGTGTTATAATGTCCATTATCTATGTGTACATGCCAGTTAATCCGTTGCGGTTATTAGTGGAAAAAAGAAACTTCGCAATGAGTTGAAAGAGGTGACCACACTACCCATATTATCACTATTATTATTCCGAGTAGAACACAAAGCTTCAAGCTTTGAAGCTTTAGTAACAATGGTGTGATTTTTCCTTACGGCATGGAGTTGATAACCTCAGGTCCAACCTCCTCTCTTTCCCAGTCTTACTACAGGTAAGGTTTATTACTTATTACCTAAAATTATTTAACCATATGATAACTAGATTAGATTTTTTCTCAAATAATTAAACACACTTTTTGGAAAACTATAATAAAGCGAAAGAGTAAGAGAAGGACACAATTAATTTCGTCTCCGGCTATACCCTTTATTAGAAACCAGTCATCTGCCCATACTGCATTAATGGTAAATCAGCTGGAAAAAATACAACACAACGAAAAATATTCGCCTGAGCTGTAAAGTTTCTCCATTATTTCAAAGACAAAATATAACTTAGCAACAGTATGCATGTGCACACAATAGGCAATCAGTCGAGCATGAAATATGGGAGGCTGATATCAACAAACAGTTGTCTAAAGTTCAGTAAATTAGACCACCTATTGGTTAATGAGCAACTGTTTAGCTGGTTAGTGAGCAGCAGTTCCACTTAGTAGTGTGACGTAAATCTGACTAAATACTTTTCAGTGCATTACCTATGAGTATTTCGCGTTTGATTAAGTAAAATGGTGGGACGTTGTAACTTCAGCTTACAAAATTACTTGATATACGCCCCGAGAAAGATTGCTTGACAAATTGTTATCAAAAACGAAGAATGGTGACGGCAAATGAATGTAGAGTTGAATTGCGAATTACCAAGATACTGATCCTACCTGCAAAACATAACTGTAAACCAAGTTCAAACCTTAGTTTCAGTAATCAACCGACTCATAACTAATGCAAAACTAGTTAATGGTCAGGATGATGAGATAATTTGGCTGAAGTTCTGCATTGGAAACAATGCTGATAACTAAAAACAGTGCAACCTGACACGCTTGTCGAGTCAATTTACATGAAAATGAAAAATGGAAGTCCAATTAAAATGAACGTAATATCAGAGGATTGAAGGGCAAGAAGAATGATAGTTATTCATAAAATTAAGCACCCGTTGTGTGTGTGTATGTGTGTGCTAAAGCAATTTTTGTAACACAGCTCGCTTTGATAGTCTTTATCTGATTATATTAACTACATTAGTGTCAACTACCACCCTTCTCATTCTTAGATCCTCTTTTATTTTGTTCATTTTTAATTGACCTTCCATTTCTTTATTTTTATGTTAATTGGTTTTATAAATAGGTCAAATCGTTCACATTGTTGGAAATGTATTACGCAAATACATCACATGCTTTTTCAGATAAACTCAATCTTTGTATAACATTACCCAAATTTATTAAAGAAACTGATTGTTTTTAAAATATGATTGTAACAGAAGAATTATGCAAAGAATCAAATTAATCATAGCGCAGGGAAAGTTATTGTTTCGAAAAAGACGAAAAATGTATTCCGCTTTCAGTGGGTCCTCATCTAACGTTTTACACAAACTTCTGCAAAAATCCCTTCTATACTCACCAACATCACACCCATGAACAATACTAATAGTATGCGAAAAATGTATCAAGAGAAAAACCCAATTATTTGTTTTCCTCCATATGAAAAGCACGTTTCTGATAAGTTATCCTTAAATAATTAGAGCTTAACTTCAGTTTAATCCTCATCAGATATACAAATCACCTAGAGGACAGTTGAAAGTGGACCAATCCAAGGATACCACTAAGCCATTCTCGCTTGAAAGTCTTCAACATACTTGTGTGCATAAAATAATCAAGTCATGTAGTGAAGTACAAACTACTGATATATGTATAATGACTGTATCTAACGTGTTGTTAACCCACTGGAACAAAAACGATAAGTGGATGGATTGTGTAAAATTTAGACACCGTGATTCCAATCTGTTTGAATGACTTAGCTGTGTGGTAAATCTTCGTGATACTTTGAACGACAGTAGTTATCATACTAGTGGGTAAACACTTTCTCTGATATTTCGAAGAGTATACTATTCTTTCATTTTTTTTCCTTCACGTTCCCCAGTGGAATATAGGGCTTCAAGCTAGTGGCTTGAAGTTTCTGTAGCAGTGTTTATTTTACAGAATGGGGTTGCTAGCCTCATGCCCAACCTTTCCTCTTTACCAGTATTACTTCTGGTTTAGCGAGGTAAAGGAGTGCGTCGGTAGTCGGGGATCGAACTCTGGACCATGTGTATGGTCGGCGAGGGTGCTAACCGCTTTGCCACCGACGCACATTCTTTCATTTAGGTGACGGTAATTAATTAATGCTCATCACTTGGTTATTGACAGCATAATGCTGTGCATAATTATGATATTATTTAATAATAATTATTATCGTTATTATTGTTACTACTATTAAAAAGAAATCAATAAAGAGAAAATATTGTCAACACCACGGGACTTCATGCTTGTATCTTTTTTTCAGTAAATAACAGGAACAACTTAAATGCATAAATACTTTAAATTAATTTTAGATTCCTTTATTAATTGAATGCAGTCTTTCATTCATTTGGAATTTTAAACTAGCGAAACAGAGAAAGTCACTTATTATTGTTACTATAATTATTATGATTACTCATTTGTTAGTAAAAATTTTACCATCATTGATTACTTAATTGGCAGAGACTAATTATTTAATATAGATAGAAGCCTTATTGAAAGATCTTAATTCCCACTAGTATTATTACTATTACTATTACTAATTCACTCTTCCCTTTAGTAATTGACGACTTGGAAAAAGAAATTTAAATTCAGTTGCTATGTTTGTGCCGGGGACTTCATTGTTTTCAAGGTGGGTTTTCGGCAGTCAATTAGTCGAAATCAGATATGATGATATGCTGAATTCTAACTTTGTAGATGAATGGGAATGTATTCGTCATATGATCTTTACACCAAGCTAGACCGGTCACGAATTCATGGGGCCACACTGTAAAGAACTACCTAGCGTTTTTATTTATTTTCCAACCTACTTAATATGTTACATTCAGTTGATGTGTAAACCCATATTAGCTTGAAGGTATTTAAGATATATTTCGAATATGTTCACGTGTATTCGGATGATTGCATCGGAATCCCTGCTCAACTGAATGAAGCCTTATGCATTTAAATGTCCTGTCAGCATGCAACGAAATCTGACATGAAAATGGAAATTGACTTTTTCCTGGTAAGAGAATCACAGTAAGAAAAGCTTATAATCTATTATACGCTGGTTACTCCAACGACACCTGCCATGGTTACAGTACCTGCTTAGTCTCTTTCAGTGTTGTATCATAAGTAGTGTCATGCATAACTTAATAGCTAGTGAGACCATCTGAGATAGTCTTGGGTTGGCAGACTGCTTACTACTAATGCAATGCTTGATGACTTTAGGTAAGGTGAAAATCTGAGTTGTAGCAGGACCCCAGCCTACCGCCTTCCAATCACTAGTCCAAACTCACATATTTAAAGTCAACTTCACGAATTGCATGCAGATGGCTACACAGTGTACCATAATTACTCTCATCTTGGGACGTACTGTCTAGTTGACCGTCTTAATAACTAAAGAAAGAACAAACGGTGGCTCAATATATATATATATATATATATGTTAAAAATAGTATATGCAAGTTTCTGTGACTGGTCGCCCGTTTATTTTCTGACATTCAAAATGTATTCAGTGGATGTGTGCGACGTGGAAACACAACATTTTTCCACTATCTTTCTTATTTGAAAACTCCAAAAACTTAAAGACTACGGAATAGAAATTTGGTTTCAGTATGAAATTTGCCACTGGAGTGCCCTCCCATACGCTTCACTTATGTAGTCTTATAGCTATGTGAACCTTGTTTTTGATAATTGAATATATCAGTGTGGAATCTAAGTGTTGTCAGTCTTAGCTAGGGAATTTCCTAGTGATATCTGAATGTCAATCATCAATGGCAAATAATTTCATACTGGTTTTTTTATTAAAAGCCTAAAACCACTAGTAGTGCATATAAAATAGAAGAAATTCAATGAATTATTGACAACTTACCATGTGTCCTTTTCGTGGTGTACAAGACCTGATAATCTTTGCTGAGTAAAACTTTCGCCTGAAACACCTTGCTTTTTAGTCCGTTGCTTCACAGGATATCCTTTCTGACCAGTATTCTCCTGGAAAGGAGTTGTTTTTGATGCTGGCGAAATAGCAGTCACATTGAGTTTATTTTGTCTGATCGCTTGACATGAATTATCAGACAAGGGTGTAACAGGATGCACAGGCAGTTTTTCCACATTATTATTAAGTTTCTGTTCTAATACAGACTTCAGCTTATCAATATCTCTATCTCGAGCATTCAGTGTGATTCGTGTTTGACTTAACTCTTGTTCAAGCCATCTTATATGATCAGTATAGGCTCGAATATCTTGCCGTAATCGTTGGATTAAACTGATTAGCTCTTCAGGTTCATAGCTCCGGCCATCTAGAAATATCGAAGATCCAGTAGGTTCAGTTTTGTGCGTTTTAGCTGAACTGTGATAATTTACATTAATATTTCCAGATTTATTGGGAATAGAAGGGACAGGTCCAAAAGGCGGCAATGCAGGTGACTGAATGTATCCCATAGCGTGAGAATCTTCAGTCTGAGGCAGTAATTTAGGCGGGGTAACGTTGTTTTGTACAGGGTTCATGGTAGTTGAATTCATTGACTGGGTCATTGAGGGGAGAACTGGTAATCCCTGAGTTAAAGGACGAATATGTGGAAAATTACTAGTCTGATCTATAGATATGTCGAAAGTAGTATTGTTTACTGGCTTTCGTTGCTGTTGTTCAATTGACGTAAAATCTCCAGCTGTTATCTGCTGATTATGATTGATAGATAGACTTGTCACAAAATCCGTCTTTATTGTATCTGTAGTTGCTTGAGGTGTCCAGGCAGGTAATACTGAAGGATTCCCTGATAAATGTGATAATGTGAAATTGGTGTGAAATATTTGAGGGCTGCTTGAGTCTAGATTCATACACCTTTTTGCAAAACAGTATTCACAATGAGTTAAGTACGCACTATTAATGTAGTTGCTACTGTTTGAATTGACTAAATGAATATTTGGCTGCAGATCGACTGTTATAAGTTGTGGAGAATAATATCGTGGCGAACTGTTGATTGATACATTCGATTGTGATAAGTAATCCAATGGATTTGCTGTTGGATGTGGACTCCATTTCTTTGTCTGTATATCAATAATTTCTTGTTGGCCTAGTGTGGCCCTTCTTCGTCTACCTAAATGGGACAGTTTTATTGGTCTTTATTCAGTAACTGCTATCATTTAGGTTGTTTAAAAATGGACTGTCAAGTTCAGTATAACTTATGCACGCAAATATATATATGTATTATATGTAAATATAATTCCAATGACCGAGACCTTGAATTCTGTCAGACTATGTGTAGACAATAGTGATAAATGGATACATTCATCAAGATTCTCACCATTCATACGATTATTAGCATGTGCTTTGAAAAATTAAAAATCCAAGGTTTTACAAGTATGTAATTGGTTAATATGTATAGTATTTATGCAGAAATATAAATATGTGTATGTGCTGTAATTTTGGAGGTGTGGATTATTTAGTATCTCGTCGGTGTACTATATAATACTATGCTTATATGCATTATATATATACCTATCAAATTTCTGTGTTTGTTAGATAGACACACATAAGAGTACGCATACAAACAAGTTAATTATTTTCGAGGTTATTCACTTATACAATAACACACAATCACAGTTACTAGATCCCAGATCTTGTGACTTATTCTATTAAACCGTACCCAGAATATGATTCGGAGGATAGACTTCACAATCACGTGAAATTTCACAAGTTTGATGAAGGTTGGCGCAAGCAGAAAAGAAAAGCAACTATAGAAAAGACGTAAGTGCTAGATAGAAACAGCTTAACAATTATACTTTGGAGGAACTGGTGGCAGTTTTACGTGGAGTAGAAGATAGTTGAACGCATTGAATGGTGGAATGTCAGGTGGAACGGTTAGTTGATAACATATTCTCATTTGCTTTATACGCCAATAAACTGACAGTAGTGATCCAGACAGCCACAAAATTCAATGGGTTTTTCAATGATCAATACAACAAATAAATACTTGCTTAAATCTCAACTGACCAATGGGAATTTAAATAACTAATAGATGTCTATCATTAATTTATACTTTTCTGCCTTAGACATACTGACAGTATGATTTCAGATATATCTTGTTTGCAAACCAATAAACCTGTGTTCATAAAAAGTCTTTTTGTCAAAAGAGAGGTAGGTCAATCGGTAAATACTACTGTTATTGAAGGAATATTTCAATCATTCACAAATTTCTCAAAAAGTAGGTGAAACATAAAATGTTTTACTGAGTCGGGATAAACTGAAAACTTTTAACCACTTCCATTCTACATGCCCTCTTTCGAGTTGATAAAACATTTAGTGTCTTTTCGACGACAGCGCACAGGCTTCTGTGGAAGATGAAAGTTGATGAATAGTAACTTACTGTGAGAGCGTCGGTGGTATAGCTGTTAGAACGCTCGCCAACCATGCACACGGCACGGGGTTCGATCCCCGGCCACCGACGCACTCCTTTACCTCGCTAAGCCAGAAGTAATGCTGGTAAAGAGGAAAGGTTGGGCATGAGGTTAGCAACCCTATCCTAAAAAATAAACACTGCTACAGAAACTTCAAGCCACTAGCTTGAAGCCCTATATTCCACTGGGGAAAGTGAAGGAAAAAAAACTTACTGTGAGAAATGAAAGTCTTGAGTTCGATCTAGAAAAGAGTTGTGGGTTGGTGGACCTGAAGAGACCCGTACTAGGTTTTCACTTGTTTGGCCACTGAAAATTGCTTCGAAACTGAGTAATATTAATAATAATAGTATTAGTGACTTTGTCCTAAACAGTGTTTGTGATAGAGCGCGGAACTCCCGGCATTCAATAAAATGTATCTTATGTTCTCTTCGCATTACATAATAAGAGGAAAACATAATTACAAAACTTTGTGATATTAACAGTAAAACAGTTAGCAATAATACATAAAAGTAGAAATAAATTACAAATTAAAAAGAAAAGTGACAACAATATATTGATGAGAAGAAGAATAAAAAACAGCGTTTCACGTATTATTACTTAGTAAGTAGGTGATTTCATACCTGGCACTTTCTTATTCTCCTTATTATTATTTCCTTAGAATCCTAGTGGAAGACAGGGCCTCAAAACACATCCCCATTATTTCCTGTTCTCTGCAGTTCTTTTTGGATGGCTCCACAACTGACCAAAAGCTCTCCTCTCCTCCTCACACAACCTCCTCCATTTCAACCTCAATCCCAATCCAAAGTCGTCGTTCCCACTCGGGTTCCACTCCAGCCATTGTCTGGCGCGTGGTGTCTCTCCGGTTCCAGTGAAGAATAAGTCGACCTTTCTTGGCAGTTTGACCAGGTAGCCTTTCTCCCAATCCACATAAACCTTTCCTTCCTTTCAAAGATTTTTCAGCAAGGGTGTCAGTCTATCCACTGCAATCTCTGGATCTGTTTCCAATGTTTCCAGGAGAGTTTTGTCCGGTTCTGCTGCCATGCTGACTGACTTTTATTAACTTTGTGCCATTCAAGACTTCTGCTTTTGTGGGATGATTGGTGTCCACTGGCAATCCTGTACCTGCTGTTGATGGTATTTCTGGACGAACTAAAGGTGATGGTCGATTTAAGATTCCTTTGAAGTGATTAGCCATTTGTTTTCTATGTATCTCGTGCTAAGACAATGGAAGCTTCGCAACAAACCCATCCAACTTAAGGAACACAACCACAATAAAATCATCCACCTGAACTATAAATCTTTTCCATTATATCTAAAACTCGTAACTGAAACGATGAAGGACATTATTTCATCATGGAATTATTTTAGTTTATAAAAGTCCCCCAGTAAAACAGTAGTATTTTCTGATGACATTCCGAGGATAATTTACTGCTCATATTCATTTTTAGGCACAAATTGTATGATTTTTCAAACATCGTTTGTTGAAAGTACAATGATTTGCGAATCATGCTTCAGTCTGACAAAGTCGTTGATAAGACCATAAATTTCATTGGTGTAAGGACAGAATTGGGTCACTGTAGTAGAGTATAATTGCATCATAGAACAGTTTTATTTTATTAAAAAATTACACAGTAGTACTGTGTTACTTACTGATGACTTCTCAGGTACACTTTACTCCCAATTGTATCAAATGACGCCTTGATAAGATTATGAGCAATAAGTTGTGCTTGAAAAGTCATCAGCAAATAATACTTTATCATTGTGTGATTTGTATCAAATAAAATTATTCTACCCTATTCCCCTACCTATTTTTAATTTAATTTTAATTTTGATTTACAGCTTGATTCCACATCGTATTTTCAGTACAAGTGTGGAATTTTCAGCATGGATATCGGTAGCCCAAATTCAGGCTGACCATAGATATAGGGTGTGCGCCGGCAGGGGGTCGAACCCCGGACCATGTGCATGGTCGGCGAGAGTCCTAACCACTGTGCCACTGACGCACAGAATAGTAACAGTTGAAAATCTTTTACCAGTCATATACTCCTGATGCATTTTCCCGGTGATCTATCAAACGGCTGTAATAATTTCGATTGGAGAAGTTGGAAAGAAAGACGATTAATAATAATAATAATAAAGCTTTATTTCAGACAGTATGTGACTATATATGATAGAAATTTTCCACGCATTTCGTTCCAAAATGTTTCCTTTTCATACAAAATTTACTTGTAAAGCAATTATCTGAAGCACATTATTTGTTGTAGTGTTGTGGTATATGAAGAGAAAACCAATTCTGTCCACTTTTTCTTCAGTTCCATCAAGAATTGTATAGAGTATAGTGGGAAACTAATTAAATATGCGCGCGAAATTATGTATTGGTCATTTGATATAACTGCACGATTAAAACAATAAGAAATGCAGAAGAGTGTAAGCCCTGTGATTTAAGCAGCCCTCCAGTGAAAGTAGTCACCCTTGCCATTGGATAACAATGGTGCTATATCAGACCAGTGGCTTATCTTATAATCTCATATTTCTAAGTCTGACTCTTTATTGAGTGGCGGCTGAACGTTTTCAAATGTTCACAGACTACGAGGATAGTACTATCTTATGTCCATGATCTTCAATACTTTTGAAAATTGATGTCGATTTGTGATGACATCGGACTTGAAAGTGATCAAATCCACACAAACCCAAAATTGAAAAAAAAGTGGAAGTCTAGATCTGGAATAATTTCTAGATAAAATTCTATTCAGCTTTGAGAAGTGAAACGTTGTCTTTACTGCAGACAGGAAAAATTCCTTACAAGGTGAATTCATCAACAGTAGTAGTAATAATAATAATAATAGAAATATTTCAAACAAAATGAATGAAAATGAATTTGCTGAACTACTTGCCTAATATGTCCAATGTCCCTCCGTGCAGGTTTCCCCGGGGATGCTGCGTACTTATTCATATATTATCATGAATGTCATTAAAGGTGATTGTGAAGTGAAGTCTACTGTTGTTTAAAATTAATAAAGAAGAAGCTAATTCTCTCAAAATTTCTATAAACTGAATGAACATCATCAAGCAAAGGTGGGTACTCAACCAAAATATACGTGATTTCTAAATACCACATACAGTCGAAACAATTTCTGTCAGTAATGCATTAGGTTTTTAGGTTAACATGGAAACAAAAATAACCATCCGACCTTTTTCATTTTTTCGTATCTACTTTTACCAATAACTTCATATTCGACTACTGGATTATGCATCGCACTCATACAGAAATGAAGAAATAAGTGAACGATAGTTTCTCAAACACTATGGACCTATGACATTGTAGTTTATCCAGTCCGCTAGGATGAATGTCCTGTTTGGCGTGTTGTTAACAGAAATCTTTTGAATGAAGTAGATCAGATGAAATATTTTAAAGATAAAACAGTAAAATAAAAAGATAAATCAATGGGCATGCTATTTAGCTGTTCTTAAAAGTAGGCAGAAATAAGTTTTTGATGTATCTGACATTAAAACGGAAGTCAAGGTGAATAGGAAATATTTATTGTAAAATTATTAAAAGTGATCAGTTATCGTGATATTTAAACTACTAGTCATGAATCTACGTGCGCCACGATATCAGACACAATCAAAAGGACAGTTTCTTTTCCATGGTTTATCGAGTAAAATAATCTAATACCCAATTAAAAAAACTACTACACAATGCCACAATCCTATCGAAAAGGCATTCCATTTATATAATTTATAATTACTTCAGTTAGTGAATTTGTGTGGGAATGAATGATCTCGGCTTGTCTTTCCGCATAAGTTAGCATTAACTAGAACACCATCAGAAATCAGAGATGGATTAAATACAAATATCCCTTTTGGCTTGAGACCTGTTAGCAGCAAGCACCTGTGTGCCGTAGTAGAATTTGAATAAACAGCATGGGTTCTGACAGCAAATATCTCGATATCTAGTGATTTACCAAATATTCAGTTACTTGATTTCCAAACAATTTTAACTGTGATTTATTTTAGTTAAACTATTAGGTTTTTGAAAAAAAGGCCAATGAATTTTCAGTCATTTGAAAATTCATTCAAATGACATTCAGCAAATTTAAATCTATAAATAATGGAGAATGTTTGTAGCTCAGATGGATGATTTTGGTGTTGTTGCATTCTTTTAACTGAGTGGTATAATAACGAAGCTCTTATTATTTTTCCAGACATTGTCTTTTATCAGTCTTGTTGTCACGAAGCACTAAAATGTTTCTGCCTACATTACAGTTCCAATGATTAAAAACTGCTTTTTAGATTTAAAACTTTCTTCGCTTTTTTTACATTCACTTTGCTCAACAGAATTCCTTGTATCTTACAAAGCATATTTCCATCTCACATGTTTTTCTGCCTTCCTTCATTAAGCAGAGAATTCTGAGTCTGTCAACAAGTGCCTAAATAGCTGTCATCAGTCAAAACTGTTCCAAGTGGTGCAACCAGCCTCTTTCGAATATGATACATTTAACCGAAGATAATACATAAATGGGTCGTGAAACATTGATCCAAAACTGTGCGATTTCCAGTATTAAAAAATTATCAGAGCTTCTTTAGAAATAAATACCAGTGTTTAGTACGACTGAATAAATTCACGAATTGTTTCCTTTTCATCTTCTTTTGAAGCTGTGCTTGATTTAAATAGCTTTGTAATAAAAACTAGGTGTTCTTGTTTGCC